GGGGGGGGAGGAGAGAGAGAGAAAGAGAGAGATGGAAAGGGGATGGGACAAAATGAGGGGAGGAGGGGGACTTACAGATTTCATTCCGTGAAGAACTGTAAAAAGCGTTGACTGTATGGGGAGTATCAAACCACCTGTTGAGAATAATGAAAATAATAATAATAATAATAATAATAATAATAATAATAATAATAATAACAATAATAATAATAATAATCATTGATGTACAAAATAATTTCATATAAGCATAACCATCACTCAAGACGTAACATATGATATATCAAATGGAAGAAAATTAAATGAGGAAAACTTTCCAACATGAAACAAGGATTAATTTTGAACATAAGTATGCATTACAAGGGTTAGAAATGGCGATGTTAATGAGAAAAATAAATTTTGACGGAAAAAACTGCATTCACCGAACATGTGAAAACAAATCGGCATAGCTATCTTATCATATACAGTCAAAAGCATAATCCATAAATATCTAAAAGCGCAGCTTTTTATTTGAAAGCAATATTCCAATTTTTGTTTGAGTTATGATATTTATATTGAGTTCAGTTAAATTGTTTTGTTGATGCAAGACCCGTTTTTCGCTAAACCGACACTTAGATAAAGTAAAACTAGATATTTTCGTTTCATAAATCCTTGTCAAGTTTTTAATAACAATAAAAAGTAATCATAAATGACGGATCATGTTTAAACGAAACTATACTGAGGCACCAAATCACAGCCAATATATCAGCGATACGTCCGCAAGTGATGTAGACTCGCACCGATTTATCGGCGATACATCCGGAAAGAGTTAATCACCTGTAAATACATGTATTGCTTTCACGTAGTAATGGTAGCAAAAGTAGTTGAAATAGTACTAGCAGCAGCAGCAGTAGGAGGAGGAGGAGGAGGAGGAGGAGGAAGGGGGTAGTAGCAACAACAGCAGCAGCAGCTAGTAGCAGCAGAAGCAGCAGAAGCAGCAACAGCAGCAGAAAAATCAATTTTTTTATAAATCATGATGAGATTAATGAAGATGATGATGATAAGGAGGAGGAGGAGGAGGAGGAGGATGAAGAAGAGAAAGAGGGAGAGCAGCAGCAGCAGCAGCAGCAGCAGCGGTAATTGTGGTAGCAACAGCAACATTATACTAATATAAACAACAGGAAAAGGGGGGGTTTGGAAATTTCAGCAACATTGGCAGTAATAGTTGTAGAGGTTCTACTTAACACCTTGCAGTCATACAGCCAGCGGTACAAAATACCCCATCTGGTCACCCAGCCATGAGAGAGACTGCAACAGACTTCTCGGGCCTAGCTCAGAACTGCGATAGGTGACTGGAATGGATTATTTTCACCGGCGCAATATTGCGCCAATTAGTGACTATAAAGTGTTAAAACCTTTAACCATGTCTGGACGGTGGCAGCGTCCGGTAGTCGAGGCCTATAACCATGGCTGGACGGTACTACCATCTGATGCGAAGTTGTTATTGTATTATGGTACAGGCCGAATATAAAAAAGTATGAGCTAACAAGCCTTTAGTTTGACCCGGAAGTCAAAGATAAATGAATTCTCTGTCTGGGTAATGCTTTATTCATCAGTTTGACACGAAACAAGCGGTTTTAAAAAAGTAATATGTCGGGTCGCATTTCCACAAAAACAAGAGAATTATGCGGAAAAGTGATTTTAAATTGCATGGTTAAAGAGTAAAAATCTTACTCTTCTTTGTCCACGGGTTGTCGCAGTCTCCTCCAGTTGTGCGCCGATGATTCTTTAGTTATGTGCACATTATTCTCGAAGTATTTATCAGGATAAAATGTAACCTGTGAAGGACAAAGGAACTTTAATCAAGTGAAAATAGATGTTTCAAAACCTGTTTTGCTGCTAATCAACGTCAATTTAGGAAGTGAAATTATAATTGTGAAATAAAGGACTGTGGGATATGGGCCAGCGGAGACATGGCAAGGTTTTACGGCTTGTATGCAAAACACATGAGTTCGATTCTCTCTCTCTCTCTCTCTCTCTCTCTCTCTCTCTCTCTCTCTCTCTCTCT